ATTTTACTCAAAGGTTCTGTGGAGAACCCACAATAGTTCTTCTATGGCATCAGTGTGAAAACCCTCTTTTGAAACCTTCATTTTTACTAGGAACACAAAGCCAGTTAGTTTCTCGTCAACACAAACTCACCGACATTGGCAGCATGGTCTGAGAAGTGATTATTGTACATGTTATTGGCCAACAGGAAGGCTCCTTTCTCCATGACGTCCAGTAGCATGGTGGCGGTGTGCGCCTGCTCCGTACTGTTCATGTCCTGCCATGACTCTAAAGCTTCGGCACGCAAAAGATTATCCACAGTCTGCACAACCGCCTGCGCACACATGCACAAACAAATACACTTACACTTCATCATAATTACACTCGACGTCAAAGATGAGAAAATATGACTCTCTGTGAATGTCACATCTGTGAATCTTGCGTAACACTTGAAATGTATTTCTACTTAGGAGCAACATCTTATAGGCTATTGTAAATTAGAAGAGTGCTAAAAGAAAGCCTTGGGCAAGATTGCTAGAAGTCTCTTTCTCACTCTCTCTCTCTCACACACACAACGGACACACAACAAACCAGCTGCAGTTAAAATTCATCTGAGGTAGGCATATGCAATAAAAAATATGGATGGCACTTTCTATGATGCCTGTATATGTTATGCATTATGGATGCAGTCATAATGCCATTCAGTAATGCATTATATGTTTTCATTAAAAGTAACCACCAATATAATATATTATAATACTTCATGGTACTATGTTAAAAGACATCATAAAATCAAAACGAGAGTTTAATTTTAATATATATATTTAAAATGTAATTTATTCCTGCGATGGCAAAGTTTATTACGCCACTCTTCAGCGTCACATGCCACCTTTATAAATTATTGTAAAATGCTGGTTTAGCACTCAAATACCATTTATTATTATTAATTATAACTGACTTTTTTCAGTATTCTTTGATAAATAGAAAGTTGAAAAGAACAGCATTTATTTGAAATTCAAATCTTTAGTTACATTTTCTTTACTGACAAGTTTGATCAATTTAAATCATCCTTGCTAAATTAAAGTATTAATTTCTTTAAAAACTTACTGACCCCAAACTTCTGAACGGTAGTGTATGTGAATTTAAAATGTACAGTCTCTTAACGGCCAAAAATATAGATGACTAGTGTCGCACCACATATTTTGCCTAATCAATTTTTTTTTTATCAAGAGTGAGAAACAATACCACTTACAATCAACTAAAAAGTAGCAAATCATGGTTTGTTGATGTTGATGAGCAAAACAGAAGTATTACCCAATACTACTGTACATATTTTATTTGTTTCTTTGCAGTATTTTAGTCTAGTGGCCCTTCAGGGCGAGCACGGAACGGCTCAAATGTATTATAAGGAAATTCTGAGTTTAATTTAATATCTTTATAATGCATTTTATATACAGGCTTCCCAGAAAGTTAAAAAATGCTCATAGTTGAGCGTGGGATAGGAATCAAGCATCGGTATGTGTGTGCAGTGACACAGAGGATAAGAAGAGATACAAGAGGTGAAGTGTGTCTGTGAACTCATAAAGATAACACTGCACAATACCTGAACATAAGCCCGGCAGGTCCTCTCTCTCTTCTGCCACTGCAAGACAGAATGAAACAGCTTTCAGATACACACACATTCATGCAGTTGAGTCTTGCAGATTCAATCCGATTTTAAGTTAATTTCGAATGCAACTTACAAAAAAATACTACTTCTTCTTCTACTACTACTACTAATATGCATCTATTATAATTAATTTGTATGCTTAAAAAAATGGCATTAAATATTCTCGCAGAACTCATCCAGCTCTTTTTCATCCATCAAAAATCCATGATGATCGCTATATATATATATATATATATATACACACACACACAATATATATATATATACTTAAGACAATATACACATATACAGTGTAAATTTTAAAAGTATGTATATGTATGCATGTGTTCAAACGCATCTTACAAAATAATTACATTTACATTTAGTCATTTAGCAACATGTAGACAAATGTACAATTAATCATATCAAAATTTAACTTTTTTTATACTAACCTTTTCATTATTAATTTACTAAATGTTTTCAGTTTATTATTAATATCATTATTTTATTTCCATTTGTAACATCTCAAAAAAATGAGCTACTAAAACATTAAAAGGGGGGAAAAATTGTAACCGCTCAGAAAACAGGTATATGCACACCCTGCATTCATGTGATTCATGTCAAGGCTGTGAGTTTAGAGGGTATTCCTGTGCACACTGATGTGGCAGCAAACAAAACATGAAGGGTTTGTTTAAAGGGCAAATGTATGTGAGTGTGAGTGTGTGTTTGTGCATGCGTGCATGTGTCACCTTATTGTAGTTCCTGGCTGCCGATTCCTTATTCCCGGGTCTGAGTGCTTGCAGCTGTGCATCTAATATATCCAATAGCTGCTCGATGAGTCTGACAGAGGAACTGACATCACCGGCGTGAATGTGGCCCTGCGTGTGGTTCACCAGCTCAGCGGCGATGTTTGCAGCATTCTCTCCGCTTTTTATCTACACAGTGAATACACACACACACACATACACAGTCTGGTCTATAAAGCTCAATCCCCTGCCGTGCGCTGTGGGGGTGTGAGCTGGGGGTTTCTGGGTTTATGCTGCTAGACGCACAGACAAAAGACAGCAAATCTTTAATGACTCTCTAAATCAAGCTATTACAAAAAAACAAAAAGGGAAAAACGAAAGCGTGAAACATGATAAAATTACTCACTTGATTTGAAAGCAGACACATAGCCTGTAATTGCCCTGAAGCAAATGTGTCACTTAATGTTTAGAAAAAGAAAAAGAAAAAGAAACATTCCATTGTGTTTAAGGTACTCAAAGGTACATCTAAGTATGCTATGGTACAACCACTCTTTGTGGTGTTCAAAAAACATGCTATTATAATAGTTTGCCAAAGACAACAGCACAAACTTAATACCATGGTACTCTGCAACTGAACATTTTAATTTAATGTGACTCTTGAATTTTTTACCTTTGAATAATGCCATTTATTTACTTAGGCCTTTTACAGTTGACATTTCTCTTTTGAGTTCTTAATTATGTTCTGTAAAGACAGAGTTGAGTAATTTACAATAGTGACAACCACATTTATATCAAATCTGCATAATGTGTATAGAACTAATAAAGAAAACATGTGGCAGTTTCCTAAAAACTGCAGCATGATAATACATCTGTAATTGCTATCATTACTTTGGTCAACAATAGCCCCAACAACGGGGTTAAACTGTTTCCAACCATGTTTGTCGTTTGAGAAGTCGTTGCTGTGTTGATCTCTCCATGTCAATCATCACAACTTACAGGTAGGGTAGGTGATTTCGGAGAGGCTAGCAATAGCAGGCTAGCTTTGAAAGCATAAGATCTCACCTCCCCTGCAAATCACTCTCCAAAGCCACACCTCCTCCAAAACACATGACCACGCACAGGCAGACCAGAGGCTAACCAGCGACACGATGAGAGATGGTTGAATACAACACTGTCAGATTACCTCATGTCTCATTCACCAGTGAGAAAACATTACAGTACAAAGCGCATAATATTACAACAATAACGCCTTTCATTCTCACTCGGTCTGTACTAACGTAATGGAACATGCTGATGATGTATCATGTCTGCGCGAACAGGGTGTGCAGAGGTATGCAAATACATAAGTTGACAGGCAGGTAGGACAGCCTATCATAATCCTCGGACCATTTAGGAAACATTTTCTTAGCTTCAGTTCTATTTTAGTATTATTTATATACTACTATATTTTTTATAATATTTTTTATTCGCTTTTATTGTTATATTTTTATTATATATTTAATTTTAGCTTGTTTTTTGCTTTTCAAATATCGTCGCCTTGGAATTATAAGGTTCTATCTGACATTTTTGTCAAAATTGAGTTATTCACATATTCTTATTCTGTGACAACTTATTTACATTATGTGAGTGTTTTTTTTTTTTAGAAAACAAAAAGGTTCTATCTACAAAGTCGAACTCTAACTTGGTTCTAAAAGGTTCTAACTGTGCGCCAATCAGCACTTCGAATGCACACAAGAGGACCAATCAGGATCAACTTTCTTTAAATAAATTGAATCTTTAAGCACGAAAGATTAAATGTTAAATATTTTAAATGTCTTGAAGAAGAGATAATAAAAATTATTAAAGAATGTCTGTTTTCTGAATTTTTTTTTTTTTGTAAAAAGTGAAGAGGGTCGCGAGCTACCGGAGGTAGGCTTATGTAATACTGTAAGTGTATTTTTTCTGCGCAACAATAATTAAATATCTGATGACTCAAAAGCAATTCACCTTTATTCCTCAGAGTGTCACTGTTTCATAAAAAATGACGACGTGATGTTTCACTCATAATTACCACAGGCATAAAACAAAATATCATCGGCAAAAATTGAACTGACTTGAATGGCCTTGCTGCAGAGCAATTACTGTATGCAATGAAATATAAGTGTCACAGTCATTTGATGGTGGATGTGGCGAATAGCGATCAAAATGTTGTTTTTGAAGACGTTGAAAACGATAGTTTTGAGAATATGGTTGAGATCGCGAATATGACCCAGATGCTGAATAAGTGCGATCTGACTATGACAGTGATGGTAAAATTATCTGCTCAAATTGAACCCTTCCAAGTTTAAAAAGGTAACGGAATATGCTTTATTTTATTCCTTTGTAATTGTTATTAAAATATCAGGAGAGTTTTACATTATTGCAGCAGTTAGAGATCCACCCGTGTTCCGGGTCGATATAACTTAGACCCGATATGTAATGATTGGTGCAACATTCATGCATTTAAGGGTTAAACAACTTTGCTAAAGCATTGTGTTTTCTTGAAGTTTAAAGTCTTAAAATGTCTTACATTTTACATTATTAAAGCAAATGGTCAACTATTTAATTGATGAAGTCTTAATTACAACAATAAATGTTAACATGTTATCTCGGCCAAACTGATCTCTAGAGAGACAGATCCCAAAGTCCTGGTCAGATGTATTACAGTAGCTGCTTAAACTGTTCCTGCAATGATGTGTTTCATTACCCACCATATTCCTGCATAAAATTAACATCTGCACTGGACAAAATATTTAGCATTGCCTTTTATGCTTTACTTGAACAAGAAAAAAAATTATATGTTCTAAAAATATGAAATAAATTTCATAAAAAGCATTCAATTTACCTTTCTCATACATATCAACACATTGTTACAACACTAATTTTATGTTTTAAAACAAATTATAAGTAAACTGTTTGTATTTCTTGAAAATTGTTGCTTCAATTAATGTTTTGCAAGATAGAACCTTATAATTCCAAGCGGAAAATTACTTTTTAGAATTAGAAGGTTCTATCTGCATTTGACCTGTTCCAAAAATCCGCATTTACAAATTTGAGAGGATTTTGATATTGTACATTTAAAATACATTTGGGGTCTCTGTCATTTTCATGTATGAAAGAGACTTGTTCCCCATATCACTTTTGCTATATTGAATGTAAAATCTTTGAAGCTCAATATCTCGAAATCACTCAAAATGCAGATAGAACCTTATAATTCCAAGGCGGCGATATTATTATTTAGATTTTTTTTTTCAGTTTTAGTTTTTATTTTCAGTTAGTAATTTTAACTTAAACTTATAAATTATTTCTGTTAGTTGCCAAGGCAACATTTCTAATTGTCATTTAGTTCAAGTTTTTCATCTAATATATACATTTTATTTGATTTCGGTTTTATTTCAATTAGCAAACATTTTTTTTAATGATTGATAATTAAGGATAATAACCCTGCTCTTCATATCCTGCATATTCTTTCCAATGATGTTAGGTTTGAGTGGCTGAAGTTTATTTTAACAAGTCTCTGATCATTCCAGTCTGATCTTAACAGTCTAAGCTGGACTGTGTTGTGAATCTGTCTCAATGTTTTTGAGTCTGTTATTGGAATAAAGCAGGGGTAGGCAAGTTCGGTCCTAGAGAGCCGCAGTCCTGCAGTTTATAAAGGTCTTAAAGTCACAGGAGTCCACTTATTCTGAAGGATCAAAGAGAGGGTGACTAAAAAAAAAGAAAATAATTTTTAACTGCTTTTGTGGTGCAAAAATCCGACGACAGGGGGGAAAAATGCAAAAAAAAAAAAAAAAATATGATGCCTAAAAACTTTGTAAAATTAAAAAGTTTTGTAATATGTGAAAATCAGAACAAACTGTCCTTGATGTGTACGCTCAGTGTGACTTTCACCCAAGATGCTTTTAAACACTCGCTTAGAAATAGATAGAATAGAGAGATTTTGTTCCAAATCATTGTCAAAAGAATGACCTGCGTGCGGTAATGTGAGCTGAGGCCGGAATGATAATAGCTGAGATAGCAAACAGAGGAGGACAGGGAACGGGGGGTCAGAGCAAGTAAAAAGCAACTTTTTAGTGGCCTCACCTTCTGGGCCACCTGGTTGACCCACGGCGAGGTGCAGTTACTTAGATCAGGGCCACGAGGATTCCATAGCACAGGAGAGGACAGACACTGAAAGGACGCAATGCCTGAAAACAGAAGACGAGATGTTAGGAGGGAGAGAGAGAGAGAGAGAGAGAGAGAGAGAGACCTTGGGTTTTAAAATCATCTATATTATACACACACACACACTACCAGTCAGCATAAAAACCACAAGCTTATGCTGATAATTATCATTGGGTCTACATATAAATCTTTTCAAACTATTTTTTTTATTTATGTCACACTACTGCGTTGATATACACACATGAACATGATGATGAAGATAGGCAGTCTTTACTAAATAAGGTAAATCCAAACAGAGGGAAGGCTTGCAACACGTAACATCGACGAGACCCGACAACAACAAACAGAAAGAGACCAGCTAAAATACACCAGCAGACAAGGCTAATTAATGACACTCACCTGAACAGAATGACACAATTAAGTCAATGAACGGAAGTGGTGCAAAAGAAAAACAAAGTCTAAACGGAATGATACGGTGAAAATTTAAATGGGTCTACATATATATATTTCAAATCTATTTATTTATTTATTGTGGAAAAAATTGATAAGTTACAGTGGCAAGTTAAGGAAAAACACAGAACAAATGTCCAGACTATCTGTAAACTTTAATACTCTTTAAGAACCATCCCAGGATGCACCTCATTAAGGTGGCTGAGAATAACTAATGCTGTAATCAAGGCGAAGTGAGGCGACACTGAAGAAGCACAAATTAAGACAGTCCTGATTTATTTCTCCTTTTTCTGGGGGCACTACATAATTTCCATGTCTCCATTTCTGTATTTCATAGTTTTCATGTTTTTTACCCGAGTTTTAATATTTTCATAAAAAAATAATAAAGAGAGAGTTGACAAAACTTTTGACTGATAGAGTATAAAAAAGTCAGAATCAGTTAATTAATTATTCATTAAAATAAAACAAAATACAACAAAATAAAAAGTCAAAACAAAAAGTGAAAAGTGAATTGAAAACAATTTTTTTTTATTTTGATTCTGTGGAGGCACTGTCTCCCTTACCTCCTTGGAGAAAAATAAATTACTGACATATACATACAAACACAAGTACACAAACAAATTCATAGCAAATCTACCAAAAAACAACATAGTTTATTCTCAACTCAGTGCTAGAGAATAAGAAAGAAAGAACAGGGCTGCTCAGAGCTTCCCTGTGAAAGCTTCCACGAAACACACTTTTTTTCTGTGGAAATGAATTTGCTGACACATGAACGCCATCGCACACTCTTACACACACTTGTGTAAGATAACACACCAGGCATGGCCATCCCATCAGCGCCTCCGAACGCTGAGAAAACACCTCGAGGGAGACACCTTCTGCCACTCCTCATTTTCAGTTAAGTTGGGCTGTTTAGTTAGCCGAGTTCACAGAGAGGACAGCATGCTGGGATCCAAAAAAAAATGTTGACATCTGTAAACTGTCTAGTGGCTAATTTTTTGCAGGGCTAACCCATGCTGAGTTTGAAGATCACTCCTTCATTTGCAAAGTACTGCCTTTTAACTATGACTCCCAAGAGGACCTGCCAGCTGGAAAGAATATAGAGATGAGGAGGAAAAGGAAGCAAGGTCTCCAAACTAAGAAATGGGTGTGTACACATAAATGTGTACATAAACCCAGTAATATACACAACACCGGTAGACCAAACACAACATGCAATTCTATGAAAAGCTGTCTCAACAAACATTGTGTGACCTTTATGTCATAAACATCACGCACCCTTCCTTCCTGTAAAGTTGTGATTCCTTCTACCAATACATCATGTTGTAATCAAGCGCAACAGACTAAAATGTCAAGCAGCACTGACAAAATTCGCAATAATGTTTACACCCCGGTAGATATCTGTGCAGCTATCAGCCGACAGGAATTTTCTTTATTGAATTTCCAGCAAAAATAGGTATATTGTGATATATACTGTTACTGTGATGTAAAATGACTCATACCATGAGGATTTTAGTCGTACAACCCATCCCTTGTGTCAAGCGATAAATTGTTTCTCTGCTACGGCAATCAGAGTTCTTGAATTTGCAAGTTGCGATTTTGATTTCTCCAGTCAAAATCATAATTTCAAAATGTCTATAATAATAATAATTTTATTAAACAGTCACCCCATCATCATCACTCACCCAGTGATCCTTTAGGGCAAGGCCTGTCTACAGTCTCCCCCCTCTGGGTGGCAGGCCATTGCACCCCTCGGGCTACTCTGGCTTCACACACTTGGAGCTCAGGGCCCTGTGGTGGGACGCGCAGGGGTCTGCGAGTCACCGGCACAGTGGCGGTGATAGGTCGCAGATCTGGTGCCTTGTTGATGGCCCCTATCGGGTGAGCAGTTGGGGGCAGAGGTCGCATGGTTGAGGGGATGGAGCTGGAAGTGACAGGTCTTGCTGCGGTGGTGGTGCTGCTGCTCATCTGAGTGGTGATGAGTGGACCTGCGAGCAAGAGAGAAGGACAGACAGGAATGCAAAGAAAATTGAAACCAAGGCAACAAGCGTGTAAGAGGCAGAGAAGCAGATTCAGAACACCTACAGAGTCGACGAGAATGTCGGCGGATGTTTGACAAAGAAAAAAAAGAAGACAAAATAGAAGAAAGGAAAACCTAAACGTTTGATGTGTATTGCAAAAGGAATATGAGAAAGTTGGTAAGAAGATAACTAAAGCAGCAGGAGCATTTGCTAGTCTTTAATGCATGACTATACGTTCCCACAGACCCCCTGAGAACTGGATAGAGCGAAATACAGGAGGAGAAAAAAAGAGAGAGAAAGACAGACAGAGAATGTTCATGGCAAGAAGATGAGAATGAATAATTGATTAGAAATCTTTTTCTGATCTGACAAAACGGTAATGACCACTGCTAATTAAACCATAAAGACAATGTATTGAAGAAACAGAGGGGAACACTAACTAAACGTTGACACTTAACAGATCAAACTGTCTGTTAGCCTCCGCCTCCCGCTAAGCTCGCTCTTTCTCTGTCACTTACCAGCAGTGGGATCTGGTGGGCCAAACTCTAGGGGGTAGCGCAGCACATTGTAGTTATTCCAGACATAAAGTTGATTGTCTCGTGGGTTGTAATCCACAGAGGACACATACTGGTAGGGGTTGGGGAAGGGGATGTGGACAGGATCTTCCCGTGCTCTGTTGGTGTTGTACGCATACAGCACCAGATCTCCACCCGCTTCGCTGTCGTCGTCTTGGTAAACAGAGCGGACAGCATATAGAACACCACATGCCATGAAAGCATTGGACGCCAGTCGCTTATCAAAGCTAGTCTCCCAGGTTCCCTCGAAGCGCAGGGTGTAGGGGTTAACCTAAAAGATAGCAAGAGAAAAGGGTTCGGATTTTGTTTGTGTTCATATTATACAACAAAATAGAACTTGATTACTCCACAGTTCTGGAAAATGGAGCTCCTTAAAATGTAACTGAAATTCCGATCCAATCTCAGCTGAAATCCAATAGCTTTAAATTGCACTATTCAGTGACACTGACCTGGCTGACCACCAGTCGTCCATTGTTGGCCTCCGTAGCGTAGATGACCCATAAACCGTTTTCATCCACCGCAAGGTCAATATCGGACTTGCCACCCCAGCGGTATGGTGAGGTGTCATGATAGTTGGCATTATTGACTATGGCTTCTCCACTTTTTATACGTGTGCGCAAGTCATATTTAACAATGTTGCGTGTGCGTTCCTTGTTGTAAAAAACAGCACCATCATATACAACAAAGCCTGTTCCATCCACACGATTTGGCAGCCTGTGGGAGAATAGTGATACGTGAGATGACTTGCTATAAATGTAACTCTCAATAATTTCTGTTACATTTTAGACAGATTATGATCTGAAACTAAATCAGGATTCTACACTCTAATATACATGCCAAGGAATGATACCTAGATGATACCTCAGTATGCTAATTTGAAAAATCTTTCATTTAACATCAAGAAGAAACTCAAGAACCCTACTTAAGAACTCAATAATCATATAAAAAAGCTGTTAAATCTAAGTTTTGAAAAAAATCATTATTTTGTAGATCGTACACAGCGATGGTTACTGGTTCTAGACCCAAGCTGTGGTCCTCACTCACTTGTAAGTGGTCGTGGCTCGATTCTGTTTGAAGTCTTCCCATGAAGCATACTCGTACAGCATATCCGTGCGGTATGGAGTCCAGGGCATGACGTAAAGACGGTCACCAGACTGCAGGGGATCCTTACACCATGCCCCCGACTGATGCTCCGCCTCTTGCAGCAAACTTGCTGCCTGCACCCTTAATAGAGTCCCAGGACATACAAAGACTGGAGATATGAGAGAGAGAAAAAAAGAGAAAGAGAAAGAGAAATAGAGGGAGAGATGAAATAACAAGGAGGGGACAGCAAGAATGCACAGAATGATTGTGTGATAGGGTTAAAAAGAGGAGAATTTGATGGGGAGACAAATGGAGAGATGGAGGATAAAGAAAGAAGGGGAATTGGTGGGAGGCCATGAGGGATGATAATATAAAAGAGATTGAGGCAGCAAGAAAGAGGAAGAGAGAGGGAGAGAGAAATGGGAGAGAGGACATGAGATAAATGACCATTCTTCTAATGAAAGAGTGTTAATGTTCATTAGTCAAGTATCTGCACACTGGACTAGAGGCTGGTGAGAGGAGATGACAAAACCCTGGCTTCTGGTGCTCATATATTGCTGAGAATCATTTTTTAAACCCTGCCCCACTTCAACTTCCCTGCTGGAAAATCACCAGCTTCTGATGCTAGCTGATTTTACAGTGTTTCTAGATTGACTGATCATTCATGGTCATTAAGTGGTCTGAGCTGGCCTAGATGGTTTGTCAGCTGGACTTCTAGCTGGTGTACCTGGTTTCAAGCATCTTGGTCAAGTTGATCAGAGCTGGTAGACCACTTTGGAATTGCAGCAAGTCAGTTACCCTATTCTACAAACCAGCCGGGAAACAAGGTTTTGATGCTAAGTGATTTCAAATTGTTCAAGCTGGACCAAGTTGGTCATTAGCTGGTCAAAACGGGTCTAGATGTTCAGCACAGTGTTTCCCAACCCTAGTCTTAGTATCTCCGACAGTCTCCCTTATCTAACACACCCATTTTAGGTCTTGGAGTCTGTGCTAACAAGATGATGAATTGAATCAGGTGTATTGGACTACAGAGACCTACAAAATGTGCAGTGTAAGGGGTAGCCCAGGAACAGAGTTGGGAAATAGTGCTTTAGCAAAGGCACCATCACCCTGATGGATCTGGTTTCAACTTGGAAGATCATCTTGGACAAGCAAGTTAGACATGGTAGACCAGGGGTGTAAAACTCAGTTCCTGGAGGGCCACAGGCCTACAGAGTTTAGCTTCAACCCTAATTAAATGCATGTGATCCAGCTAATCAAGTCCTTCAGGCTTATTTGAAAACTACATGGTATGTCTGTTGGAGCAGGGTTGGAACTAAACTCTGCAGAGCTATGGCCCTCCAGGAACTGAGTTTTGCACCCCTGTGGTAGAACATTTTATTTCGGCAACAAAGCAGCTTGACCATCTTGGCTGGCATGGCACTGAATTTCCAGCAGGGTTTTCTTACATCAACGGCCCTGTCCCAAATGGTACCTGCTGTCCTCCTTTGAGTATACACATATGGGCTGTTGGGTAATAGTCCACTGGTAAGTCCACACAAGTGCATGCAGGCTCTGCAAATATATGCATCGAGGGAACCTAGCTACCACAAAGGGAGCATTAATGAAGACCATTTTAAATTACCAATGGGATACCCTATTATTTCTAGGAAACTCATGAGGACCACAATACCACAAGTCCATATTAAGTGTGCCATTTGAGACAAGGTCTCTATATAAAGTTGGTATTTTTTCCACCACAAAGCACTGCTGTAATGTCAAAATGTGTTTTGTGTGTTTAATGTTGAATAATGACGGATGTTATGATGCCAGTCATGTACGAAAACAACTGCAGTGCTCAACTTTTATCTGCTAGGTGTACTTATACACACTCATACACACACCAATCTCTATCGCTGTACTCTGAAGGAGGTCGTTCACCTGGGATTGGTGTGAATTAGCTGGCTGACGCACTTTCTCACTCCCAGACTGAGAGGGCATGGGGACCTGAGAGAATATATCTACTGCTGGGGGGTATGGGAAAAGGGAGCTGGAGGTGTCTATGGAAAGAGAAAGCAGACATCATCAGCACTATGCTGTCACAGGGGACAGCTGTGAGCATGTGCGGATGGTGAGAACATCTCAGGGGGAAAAATAAGCTAGTGGGATTTTCCTGCCATGGGCTATGCCAATACTTACTGCTGCTACATACAGACACATATACGCCCAAAAATGAGTGAAGCCAAACTCAAAGGCTTTTTGTATTTAATAAATGATACACCAGCACACAGAAACACACATCCATGAACACCATATTAGTGATAATTGTTATAAATTTGTTGATAGTTATAGAAATCCCTTCAGGTAAAGATAAATAAGTTATGAATCTATCCATTGCTAGATCAGTGCTTCCCAACCCTGTTCCTAAACATGAACCGATAGCACACATTTCAGTCTCCCTAATCCATGTCAGGTCTTAAAGTCTCTAAAGAGCTGATAAGTTGAACTTAGTGTGTTTGATTAGGAACAGTTTGAAAATGTGTACTGTTGGTGTGCCTCCATGAACAGGTTGTGAAACACTGGTTTAGATAGCTAGTCAAGATAGATGTGGTTAATTAGCTGAACTGCCAGTTGGAAGACCTGGTTTAGCCCTGGCAGACTATATTCGTCAAGATGATAAACGGCCTTCAATCTTAGGTGGGCAAGCTGGCAAAATTCTGCTGCTAAACAGTATTACTATGCTTATCCTCTCACCAGCACAAACCAACATAACCCAGCTTACTTTGGGCAGCAAAGTGGTTTAAATTCCACTGTCTTTCTATAGGTTTGTTTATGAGAGACAGTCTGACAATTTCTCAACAAGTACAGAGGCAATCCTCTTACATACTCATTTAGACTACTTATATCATTTGTCACAGAAAAATGATGGAGAGGAATAAACAAATCTCCCATCATGCAACGACAAACACCATCTCTGAACTAAAGAATATTAATAGACTCAAAGAACAGGGAAGCAGTGCAACACACTGTATTGACCTGTTCTATATGGGTGACCCATAAAACAAAGAATGAGCACCCTGAGTTTTAAAAGAAATTGGGACAAACGCAACACACCACCAGACACACACGAGCACACGCTTTCCCCAAACAGTCATATGTACGTTCACTGAACAGAACAGGCTAGGACGGGTCGTTCCTATAGAGCGTGAGACCGTGGAGGAAGTAATGTTTGAGCCTCGCACCCTGGGCTGAAAACTCCATACCGTGCCACAGGGTTAAAGCTTTCTTTATTCAGTATTAATGCAAGGGGCTGTAATCTAGGTTACACATAGAAAAGCTCCCGGAAGCCTGTCCAAGTGTCTGATCAACTACATGGAGGGCAATATAAGCAGCTCACCCACAAACACACACACACACGCTGCACCGACCCCAGCCGCTTCGCTGTCAACGCTCAAGCGATTGCTGTCCACAAACAGCTCAGAGTGCCCTAAATTAGATAAAGACTATGGCTTTCTCTCTCAAAGTCTTTGCAGACTAGAGCTCTCTATTTCTTGATGCTATTAGGGATGTAAGGAAAGGGCTTATTATAGTGAATATGATAATTACAGAGGCTCAAGATAGGAATGAGTATGTGTGGGACTTTTCAGTCCACAGAAACACACACTCCCACTCACACAGTGTGACCTGGGAGAATTCATTAAACCTGACCTGTGCTCTCTGGCAGCTCAGTTCCCTACTGTGTACTGGGCTCTGGCTTTCTAAAACAAGAATTTTTATAACACAGTCCTACCAAACTATTGGAAAAATGGCCAACATACAGAGTACAATTATCCTTGTCAATCTACACCAGGCTGAGGTCACTAAACCGCTCTCACCTCGATATCTTGTGGTGTTCACTGCAAAAACAATGTCCTGGTAAGTCACACTTACCCAGGACTGAAACCAACTCCCTACTGTTTTTAAACCCTGAGTAAGAAGTGAATTAGCACCTCCACCTCTATGAAACACTAAACAACTGGGCTGGGCTTCTGTGTGCTTCCATTCATAGTGCTAATGAGATTTTTATCACTCAAATATTTACCTATACACAGAAATTTCATTTGAATTTTACTTGTTTTCAGTTGCTATTATTGTTCCCTTTAACTACCCTCAGGATAGAAACATCACAAAAGACATCTCTTGTGTCTCACTTGTGTCTACTAGAAAGCAATTCGATTAAATGGAATTCAAATTCAAGTATTTCTTAACCAATATCTCAAAGTTATCCACATTCTTTTTTAACTTTATACTGATACTGTTTATGAACAATTGTCTCATTTAAGTCTGTTTGTTTCTACTAAGGAATTCTAGGAGAAACATCTAAAAGAAAATTGATTCATAACTGAAGCAAAAATGGACAGTTAAATATCTAAATAAAAAACCTGAAACTTCTGTCACCATTTATTCACCCTCATGTCATTCAAAAAAACCCCCATAAAATTCTCAAAATATCTTCTTTAATTTTACACAGATGAAAGTAAGTTATACAGTTTTGGAACTACAGTATCCCTATCCCAGTTTCAGTTTTAGGTAAACTATATCCCTAACTAGTCTCCTTAGCTATATGAAAAAGTGACCTCTCAGAAATAAAACGTTCCTCTGTCTGCCAGATCAGACATAGAAATCAGGTACAAAGTCAGTATCAACTCAAATATTTCTCAATACTGCCGCTTACAATTTTAGTAGAAACATTTAAGACAAGTTGACATAAATCAGAGAACTTAAGTATACTGAGGCATGAAAAAACAACAACAACAACCTTTGAGTAAATGTTCCTCTGGGAATACAGAAAAGTCTGCGATTAAAAATCAGATATATGATCTCAACATGAACAACAAAAAATTCTAAGCTAAGTGTTTCACATTAATGTCACATATCTAAACATTGTCTCAAAAGTTCTTTGTGAAACTAAGGAGAAGCATCGGAGGCAATGCTACTGTCACATTACTCAGAAATCTCCTCAGCACTCTGAGCAGGATGGCCAGTCTCTGATATATGAATTTTTTAACTCATAAATAATGAATCACAGTCTTTATAGACAATATTTGAGACTTAAAAAGAAAGAAAGAAAGAAAATGAGGGTGAAAAGCAGCTCTGGCCAAGGCAGAATCTACAAGTGAAGGAGAAAAATGTACTACATCCACTACTGCG